AACCAATGTCATATATGAGAGGTTTTGCTTTAACAAGTGTGATCAAAATACATCTGAAACTTTTTGATCAATATTTGGTTAAGTTGCGTAAATTAGCTTCGTCATGTGAATACGGCAACATGGCCAGTGACATGATTAGAGACAGAACCGTTTGTGGGATACTGGATGATGACATAAGAAAAGAATTGTTAAATGAGAGCACGTTTACGCTCGAAAGTTGTATCACAATGGTAAAGAGCTTTGAGGCTACGGCCAAACAGGCAAAAACTATGTCACACTCAGGTTCCACAAATTCTGTCAATCATGACGTCAGTTATATTAGTAAGCGTAAACAGGGTACTACTAAAAAATTTCAAGGGAATAGAAAACCTTGTAAGTTTTGTGGACAAACTCATGTTTGGGGTAGAGATAATTGTCCAGCCTATGATAAAAGATGTTCATCATGTGAAAACAAAGGTCACTTTGAAATCAAATGTGGTGATTTTCAAAATCTAAGTAAAAGTCAAAAAAGTCAATCCTCATACAGGAAAAAGTCCAGGAAACCTAGAAAATCTAGTGCCAAAAATATCAGAGCATTGGGATCTGATACGTCTGATTCACAGTCAGACACAAGTGAGTTTTCTGAATATGAGGAACAATGTTCATTAATTGATGTATATGAACCAGATAATGAAAATGTACATAATGTCCAACCTAAAGGTACAAAGTCAGGTACTATAGTTGCCAAGATGTATGTGCACAAGACAAGAGAGCCAGTGATCATGCAAGTGGATTCTGGTGCATCTTGCAATGTGTTGCCAGCACAATACTTACCTGCAAATGTGGTGCTGACAAAAACCAGTAAGAAGTTACGTATGTACAGCAATGATATGGTCCCTGTCCTGGGTACATGTAAATTAAGATTAAAAAATCCAAGAAACGGTAAAAGGTACTTAGTTCCTTTTTATGTCATAAGTAATCAAAAGGGCTCACTACATAAACTCCCACTCCTTGGTTCAACTACAGCACAACAAATGCAACTCATCTCAGTCAATCATGAAAACATTGCAATAGTCAACGAGTTGCAAGATGAAATGTCAAATGTCAAAGCTAAAGAAAATTTATGTCAGGAATATCGGGACGTCTTCAGTGGTCGCGGTTGTATGCCTGGTAATGTCACCCTCTATGTGGATGAAACTGTAAGACCGCATGTAGCGCCCCCACGTCGTGTACTTTTGTCGGTGCAATCAAGGTTGAAAGCAGAATTGGAGAGACTTCAAAAGGAAGGGGTAATTGAAAGGGTAGAAGAGCCAACAGATTGGTGCTCCAGCCTTTGTTGTGTAGAAAAAAACAATGGTAAATTGCGCTTATGTATTGACCCCCAGCCTCTCAACTGCGCACTTAAACGTAGCTACTATCCTCTGCCTGTCATAGAGGATATACTTCCTGAATTGGATGGAGTAAAAGTGTTTTCCAAAGCCGATTTGAATGAAGGCTTTCTCCAGTGTAAGCTAGATAATGAGTCTACGAAACTGACTACATTCCAGTCTCCATGGGGCCGTTGGAAATATTTGCGAATGCCTCAGGGCATAAGTCCCGCCCCTGAACTTTTTCAGCAAAAACTGAATCAGTCACTGGATGGACTCAAAGGCATACATATTGTCGCGGATGATGTTCTTATCACTGGATGTGGTGAAACACTTGCTGAGGCAACACAGGATCATGACAATAACTTGAAAGCGTTTCTTGAGCGTTGTCGCAAAATGAACATTACGCTAAAGAAAAGTTTGAGTACAAGCTAGAATCGCTACGCTTCATTGGACATGTGTTGACAGCGAATGGCCTCAAATCAGATCCTAGCAAAGTTCACGCGGTGCTCAACATGCCAACACCCGACTCCCCAGCTGCAATACAGAGACTGAATGGCATGGTTAAATACCTTGCCAAGTTTATTCCCAGCCTGTCACAGTTGAATGAACCATTACGCAAACTCACTCACAAGAACCAACTTTGGAATTGGTCATCAGAGTGTCAACAAGCCTGTCTCTTATACACATCTATAAGGTTCCCATTGCAGTCAATTTAGGAATCTGGCTGACCTCTTTAAGAGATTTTTCTGATAAGGTGATGCTTCCGAAGCCGGTCTCGGATTTGCACTCCTTCAAGATGGACTTCCAGTTATGTACGCCAGTAGAGCCTTGACTAGTGCTGAACGCAACTATTCTCAAATTGAGAAAGAACTTTTGGCTCAAGTTTTCGGCTTAGAGCGACATCATTTGTACACTTATGGTCGTAAAATCGTCTTATGGACGGACCATAAACCATTGGTTAACATTAGTAACAAATCGATAGCATCAGCTCCTAAGAGACTCAAAAGCCTCTTTATGAGACTTCGCCAATATGATGTAGAAATTCGTTATAAGCTTGGCCCTGAGATGCATTTGGCCGACACTTTATCAAGAGCCTTTGTTACTGATCACGGAAATGTTTATCAAGTACCAGAGAGCATCCATCTTGCCGATCTTGCAGTCCCTGAGAAACAGTTGCAAGATATCCAAACTGCTACGGCAAGTGACATAGGTTTACAGACTGTCAAACGTCTGATCACTTCGGGTTGGCCAGAACATCGAAGTCAAGTTCCACCAGAAGCACAGCCATATTTTAACTGTAAACATGAACTCTCCATATTGGACAATATAGTCTTCAAAGGAGACAGATGTGTAGTTCCCCGGTCAGCTCGCAAAGCCATAAGAAAAGAACTTCATAGCGCCCACCTTGGAGTAGAAAGTACGCTTCGGCGCGCGAGAGAGACTGTATTTTGGCCTGGAATCACAGCTGATTTGAAGGACTTTTTGTCTAAATGTGACATATGTAATACATTTCAACCTGAGCAGCCAAAAGAACCACTGCTCCATCATGAACTTCCAGATAGACCCTGGGAGAAGATTGGAATTGATCTGATGTCCTTGGATGGTCACCACTACCTTGTAACGGTAGATTATTATTCTGACTATTTTGAACTCGATCATATGACAAACACAAACCCAGAGTCTGTTGTCAAACGACTCAAGCGACATTTCTCAAGACATGGCATTCCTCTCACTGTGCAGAGTGATAATGGACCACCATTTAATTCTTCTGCATTTGCCAACTTTGCTACAGAATATCAGTTTACCACAGTAACAAGTTCACCTGAGTACCCACAATCAAATGGGAAGGTTGAGTCAGCGGTTAAAATAGCCAAGAATCTTGTTCGGAAAACCAACAAAGATCACAAAGACGTTAACAGAGCATTACTCGCATGGAGAAACACTCCAACTGCTGGACTAGATAACTCTCCAGCACAGCGTATGTTTGGACGTCGAACAAGAACATCTCTTCCAATTATGAGCTCCCATCTCAAACCAAACATTCCTGAGAACGTCACAGAGAACAAACAAAAGAAGCAACGAAAGCAGAAAGAATCATCTGATCGCGGTGCAAAAGAACTACCATTTCTTCAGTCAGGTGACATTGTCAGAATGAAACCGAAACCACACTGCAAAGAGTGGAAGAAAGCACGCGTCAAAGAAATGGTCAATTGCAGATCTTACAAAGTGCAAACAGAATGCGGTGCAGAGTACATCAGGATTCGACGACATCTTCGATTAAGCGCTGAGTCATTCACTCTCATCGATCATACATTTTCACGCAAATTTAAACTTCGCAAACAAACACAGAGCGAAACCCCACCCCAGAAAGATATGTCTCACGTTAAATGTACGACGAAGCCAAAAGAGACTCAAAACAACAGTGCATTAACTAGACGCAGTACCAGAGTTAAGAGAAAACCTGGTTACCTTAAGGACTATGTTTAATTTTAGACATTTTCAAAGAAATTATATTGATTTCACGTGTTGAAAGAGCATAGAAAATTAGATGCTCATGTTATGCACAGTTTTAGATTATTCTGGAAGCAGAGCATTAAAACATGTTTATTTTATAATATTATAATGAAAATTTTATAAATTATAATGAAAAATTAAACCTTATGAGCATAGAAAGTTTAGTGCTCTCATTGTTTGATATCATTGTAGAACTTTTTAGAGTCACTAAATTCTCACATTTGGGATTTTGGAATTTTGATAACAATTGTTTTGATGTTTTGGAATATGCATATTTGATGTCTATTTCCCAGTTCTGGATTGTTTTGAAAAATTTTTGACAACCATAGAGATCAGATGTGTATAAGAGACAGACAAAATACTAAAATTGTATGGAACATTTAACTCGTAAAGTACACTCAAGTCAAGTTAGTGTTAACATTGTGAAGTTTGTTTTATTCATTTTCTTAAAAGTATAAAGTCAATTGACTTATTGGTAAATTCATGTTATAATACACATTCTAGTACAGTATGATATCTAATTTGTTTCTTTCCAAAAAAGGAAAGATGTTGCATGCATGATTAATGATCTCACGCCCTCTGGTAGCTCGATCCCGCATTGTATGCTGGGACGACAAGATGGCGATATGCTTTGTGCAACACGAGTTAATAAAGTGTGTTAATGGAAACTCCAATATTAAAGGCTATCCTGAGTATTGTATTACGTCTTTAACTCTAGAAGTTACAACATAAAACAATATTGTTCTTGACGACTTCTTTACTACGCAAATTCAGTGGTTGTATATTGCATCTGCTGGCATGGTCTCGCCAGCTGATTTTTGTGCATACATTATACAGTCAAAGCGTCCGGGGTAAGGAGACCGTGGCGCTTTGAAACAGGGACGCGTTGAAACAGTCTTAATAAATCTCTGATAGGCCTACGAACAAATTGTTTAAATTATCTGAATGCTCTGGCAACCTATAGACATAAACAAGCTATATATTAAAAATTAGTGCGATCCGACCAGTAAGTAAAGAAATAAAGGTTAAAGGTCAAAGGTTATTCATTTATATTGCGCAAATTACGAGATTCTTTATGCGCAGAATAAGTGAGCAGATGTAACTGGAAAAAAAAATCTAAGTCAGCACCCAAATCGCTGAGCAGGGATCTCTCAAAATGTACCCTGTCCAACAGCAGTTTAGTCTCGGCCATCCCATTCTCACGCGCCTCCTATCCTGATAGAACTAATAAAAAATCTAACTGGCAAGGAATGGAAAAGAGAAAATCAAGAAAACGAAATAAGTGAGTTTTTAAATGAGATTTAAACAGAGAGACGGATGGCGACTCACGAATACATAACAGTAGAATATTCCATAATTTAAGAGCAGCAACCATGAATGAACGCTCCCCACACGACTTTAACCCGCAGGGTGGACTATAAAGTGTAGTCAAATTGGATGTTGATCTGAGGGTACGAGCACATGTTGAGGAGCAAGACATAAGCTGGCGTCACACGGTCAGATTTGTACAAAAATTTTGGTACAGTTTTTCATTTTGACAGGAGTAGGTAGACACTTAATATTCCCTAGCCACGCTGTTAAATTGTTCACCCCATTATTCTACTGTCATCATATTCATATATGTAGGACTGGTGACTGTCCTTTTAAAATGCAATATGCGAGGGTTATATAATACTAATCTGGCTTATGCCGTCCTGTATATAGTATATACAACCAGATTACAACAGTTTAATTACTATACTGGAACAGCTCAAACGCCGGGAACCAGCGTAGATTTTTAAACCAATTTCTAAATACGCCATTTTGGAATTTATCCGAATTATGTCTGTAAACACACGCATTTACAGGGTTTTTTGATTCAAAATAAGTACGTATACAGGTATGTATATCATGTCTTTCTCTAAAATTTTAGACTTATATTAACTCTAATGCTTTAAAAAACATTAAAGTTCAGTCAACCTAGGCCTATAGACCAAGGCCCCCGGCATATTACCTAGTTTAGGCCTAGATGAACAACTTTCGGCTCGATCATGTGTGGGAAAAAGCCGGGCCTCTGGCTTAGGGGTGAAGGGTCTAGGTATTTAGAATTGCCAAGAGGCTCCCTACTTTGAGTGTCATAGTGGGTCCCCCTAATAGTACCTCCCTGGTGTTCTATTGCCTCAGTGCAGGCCCATATTTGAATTCACTATTTCTACTACTAGCCTCCTATATTAGGTTTAAGGCCTACTAGGCCTAGTACTATTATAGAGCCCTATGTAGACACAGGCCTCTAACCTAGGCATAGCCTAGACTCGATTTTATTACAGAGGTTTTAGGCTAGGCTTCCCCCACCCCACTCCCTCCCTTCCTAGTCCAAGTCTGGCTTAAATACTACATTATTTACTAGATTTACTGCTCAGTGCAGCTAACTGGTTATTGGTATTAAAGTTGAAAACTAGCCTTTGCAAAGGAATAAAAGATCCAGTGAGGAAATTTTACAGATTGACCACCTAAGCCCCACCATGAACTTTGAAAATATTGATAATTTATTAATAAATTTTAATCATACAGGTAATTGAATGTGTATTCTGCTCTAATATTTTTAAGTACTTCTTCTAGGCCTATAACATTTTTAATAGTATTTAGATATTTACATTGATGATAATAATAATAATAATAATAATAATAATAATAATAATAATAATAATAATAATAATAATAATAATAATTATATTTATAAAAAAAAACTGTAAATCAGATATTGATCATTTTAGGATGTTGGTTAATTACTTGCTCACTCCCTGGTCCCCACCTAAAATTTACAAAATAAAAATAAATGGAGAAAAAAGGAAAATTATACAAGGATAAAAGAATACAATAGTGATAATAATAATAATAATATTAGTAATAATAAAAGTATTATTATTATTATTATTATTAATAATAATCATAATAAAAATAATAATAATAATAAATAATAATAATAATAATAATAATAATAATAATATTCCATCCATTTGTCCATCCCTTTACTCACTCATTCTTTCACTCATTTTTTCAGTCATTCATTCATTATTTCATTCATTCATTTATACACCCACTCATTCAATCAATCACTAATTCATTCATCCATTCATTTATTCATTTAATCATTCATTTATTCATTCATTTATTCATTCATTCACCCACTCACTCAATCATCCATTCATTTATTCATGCATTAATTCATTTATTTATTCACTCACTCATTAATTAATTAATATATTCATTCATTCATTCATTCATTCATTCATTTATTCATGCATTTTCATTTATTTATTTGATTTTATTTATTCATTCATTTTCAATCATTCATTTTTATTCATTTATTCATTCATATTTTCATTCATTTTATAATTTATGGTTATAAAACACATGTGTAATGTATTAATAATAATAATAATAATAATAATAATATTCCATCCATTCGTTCATCCATTTATTCACTCATTCTCTCACTCATTTATTCTCATTATTTTTTTCACTCATTCATTCATTATTTAATTCATTCATTTATTCACCCACTCACTCAATGACATATTCATTCATCTATTCATTTATAATTGCATTCATTCATTCATTCATTTTCATATATTCATTTGATTTTATTTATGCATTCATTTTTAATAATTCATTTTTATTCATTCATTTATTCATTCATATTTTCATTCATTCATTTTCATTTATTTTGTTCATAGATTACTTTATGCATTAATTATGGTTGTAAAACACATGTGTGTTTTTTGATTAAAACTAAACAATTTTAATTTTATGGAACAGTGGTGGATTTAAGAGCTGGCCTGTTCTCCACCTATAGTTTTCAAAATAACAAAAAATTTGGGAAAAAAGGAAAATTATACAAGGATACAATATTGATATTAATAATAATTATATTAGTAATAATAAAACTATTATTATTAATAATAATAATAATAATAATAATAATAATAATATTAATAATAAAATATATTTAAATATATTTTGAAAGTGCTGAGAGTGCCATTTCCAATCATCTAGAGGTGCAATAATCATAAATTTTCTTGTCTCAGCCAAAACCGTGGTGGGGCTGATGTGTACAGACCCACAACCTGTGGATTGGTCCCTCCCTGGGCCCCCTCTATTTCAAATTTCTGGATCCGCTACTGAGTGGGTATGTAAGTTGTGCCTAGGCATGGACTGCTAAGGTAGCATCTAATCTAACAAGGATTATTGATACTATATATTAATTTTAAAATTCATTTTGCCAATTCATTTAAATTCAAATTCAATTAAAAAATACTTTATTATCCAAAGGGATATTCATTTGGCCATGGTATAATATATCAAACAATGTACAATAAATAAAATACATATAACAATAGTTTAAAAAGAAAGTTTATACATGAAAAAAAAAATCATTTTTAAATCAGGGATTTAAACAATAAGTGTTAGGTTTGTTTTTATTTATTAAATTATTTAAAAAAAATGTAACACAAAAATTTGGGAAACAATTTAAAATAGAAAAATATTTCAAATCCTTAAACTCTCTGGACTTGTATAATCTATTATTTTTATATCATTATTTATTTATTATTTTATAATTATTTGATTATTTTGTTATTATTGCAGATTACATACATTTATGTAATGTGTTTTCCACTAAATTAGGACTACCGTATATCTGACAGACTGCACTTGAACTATCTAGAAAAATAGTCAATGAAAAAAGCTAGTGAGTCCAAAAAACACACATGTCTGTCCACACATTAATATGATACCCAATGAAATTACAAATAGCTTTGTTATAGTAAACTTATTATTAGGACTCACATTATCAAAATTAAAATGTGTTTATTGAAAAGTTTTAGACAATTTATTAGGTCAATACGTAATATGATGGTCTCATTGCTGCCCCTAATGTCAATCCTTCACTTAATTAAATGTGTATTTACATCTCAGAAAAACATAGTTTTTCA